GGGGGCCGCCGTCAGGGCGGGAAGTGGCGGGGCTGCCTTGGGAGCGGAGGGTGAGCTGCTCTTCTTCTTCCGAAAAGGATACCGAACTCTCCTTTTAGTATAGTGAACAAACCGAAAAAAAAAAAAAAAGTAAGTTAGCCTTAGCTCTGTCGGGGGGGGTGGGGGTGGGTGTGTGTGTGGACATCTAAAAAGCCCGCGCTTGTCGCTGATTCAAAACAGCAGTCACAGCCATGTCCACGGTGTGATCCAGAGTTTGCAGGCTCACGTTTCAGTCAAAAATTAACTTTTTGAGGAGTAAAACACTCTAGTAAGCAGCACATAAGCGTAACAGTAGACGGATGAAGTTCTTAAATCGAATATTGTCAAATACTTGGTTATTCGCTTTAAGCAGCAGTGGTATAGCTTCATTGCACTGCCTTTGGGAAAAAACACTAATTTTTCCTTAGCTGCTGGTCTAAGGTGAGCTGCAAGCTTTTCATTTTACTAGAAATCCTGAGGCAGCCCTGCCATCTGGTAGGAAAAAAGGAACAATTCTCTCTCATTTGGCTGCTTCATTTTTCTTACTGAGCAAGATTTACTCCCAAGCACAGAACAGGAGGCAGAATGCAGAAAAAAAAAAACTATTTCACTTGGGTCTGAATCCTAGATACTTGGTGTCCTCCCTCACCTGTGCTTGTGCAGTGTTGTGACTGGCAAGGTGTTGTGCTTCGATAAGTACTGCAGGTATAATTGCTTTGGCACGGGTGGTGAAATACCCTGTTGGTTTGTATAAACTATTTTTCATTTCCTTGTATTTATTCAACAAACAGGTAAATTACTCATGAGTTGATAAGTTCCTTTGTAGTTCTTGTGGAATAGCTTTTATCTGTACACAGGCTAGTAATACCTGCTGCGTATGCCCTTCTCCCCTTACATCAGAAAAAAAAGGAGTTAAGACTGTTTTGCAAGAAGTCACGTTGAAAAGCAGAGAAAGAAAACAGATTTTTCCAAGTTTCTCCCTTAGCAGAATGCCTTTCCTGCAGCAGGCAGGGCTGGGGGTGTGTGCTCACACAAAAGCACTTTGCTGCTTTCTGGAAAAGCCGGAGTTGTGCAACTCTGCTATTTATTGCATCTGTTGATGGTTGTAATTCTTGTTAGCTCTTTGGTTCCGGAAACAGACTGCTTCCCAGCATGCGAGAGAACTTTTCTGGTGGGATAATTTTGATACTTGTACCTAGTGAGGTATGTAAGTACCCTTCCTTTTTTTTTTCCTAGGATTATGTAACCTCATATTAACCACATATTACTTATTAGTTTATGATTTAAATACAGCTCTGCATGATTTCGTACAGGAGAGGACAGGAACTGGATTTACTGCTTCTCTCTTCCTTAAGTTGCTAACTGGTTGAAATGCTGCCAGTTTCAGAAAAACAACTCCAGGTTTGCCCTGTATGAGAAGAAAAAATCAGACATTCTGTATTTTGGTTTGTTTTTTTTGGGGTGATTTTCCTGTTAAAACGGTTACGTAGTTTCCCAGAGTTTGTTCAAAAGTGAAACTGCAAATAAATG